GATGATGATAACCCTGTGTACTCGACGACGACATGGGCACCTGATGTGTATTTTGGCTTGATGGAGGTGGAGTGTGGGGAGCAGGAGGAGAGGTTGATGATGTTGATAAAGTAATACTCAAGAGGTCAATTATGTCTTGCTCTTTAGAAGTCCTAACTGGAGCAGGAGGATCTGGCAGAGCTAATGCTGTGCAAGTAGTAGAGGGTGGCATAGATGAAGTAACCGTGTTGCCTGTGCTCACCAACGCCAAGTTCTCAGCAGTTCCAGTAGAATAGCTTGGACTTGGTACAGGCTGTAATCTAGAGTGCCTGCATTTCAAAGGTTAAACAGCCAAAACAGAAAAAGATCAGACTACAAACCAAGGTCCAACATTATCTATTTGCTTATGTTATATTAGCAGAATCATGGGCACAGACATTTGATGATCGTGATCAATCATCTAGAGGTCATCTAGGGAGGGATAGCTCAATTATTTTATCCCTAACGATGATAAATGAATATGTAAACCGATCAATCTTGACTTACCTTCGAGCCAGTTGTGCAAACTCATCCTCCTCTTCATCATCCTCATTTACCTGGTTCCTTGCTACAGAAGCAGATGACGATGAATTATTCATATTCGGTGGAGGACTGGAATCTCTTAAGCTTGAACCTCTTATTTCACTGGCTTTCTGTGTGTCAGCAGATGAGCCGGAATGCCGAGTGCTCAGATTTGTTGATTGAGCTGACAGTACAGAACCAGAAGCAATTGCATTATGTTTTGCAAGCACACTCTGCAAAGAGTCATTCAACTCCAGACCTCGACAAAGGAGTTCCTCGTCCCTACAGAATTGCAAAGAAACAGCATAAGCCATCATACAGAAACTCAGGGATCTCTTATAGAACACACCCCCAGTGCTATAGAACAACTGTAACACCCCAAAATATGGCAGTTTAGAACTCATCAAAAAGCAGCAGTTCAGAAGTGTTTTGAATGGTTAGGTTTCTTGCTTCAATCAGACATTCAATAAGTCTTGCAGAAGAAAACACGCAAGAAACTAGATGGATACAAATATAAGTCCCACAATAATCGTTCAGGAGCTAACCCCGTTGTAGTCAACATCTGCATCAACTTCTTTTGATTGGCACGACAACGGCTGACAAGATCTACAATAACTTCATCTTTAACAGCCTACAAGCAGAGATGAGGACAGGTGAGAGTTTTTCTCATAAGCAGAGCATGACAATGCTGAAAACATAATTGAACATACAAGAGAGTCTCCAGGATTCACAGCTTGCAGCATATCATTCAGGAGCTCCATAACATTACGCATAGAATCCAAGCTTGACAAACTTAGGCCTTCAATCTCTGTTGCCATCGTCTCATCAAGCCTCCTTGACGAATTACTAGGCATTCCAAAACCAGCTTGTGTAGTCCTTGTGTTTGGATTTGAAACAGGTGGTGTAAAAATTGGAACACCATTTGATGAGCGTTTGGGAAATTCAATTCCAGAACGCTGTATCCACAAAAAAAATCTGATCAATAAACTCTAGAAAAAAGTTTAAAATTCACAACAATATGAATACAAGTATTCAATTATGAATAATGTGACCATGAAATTTTTCCATTATATTTAAAGGTCAACGAACAGAGCGAATCAAGGAATGTCTGTTAACAAGATTTCCAGATTGATCTTATCAGTCAGCAAATCGTATGAAGTGTAAATTGATAATCCTAGATTGTAAATGCATACCCTTAATTCATCATACGCCCAGTAATATTGAGGATGCTTTCCTCCAGGTCCACCAAACGCCTCCTGCCAAGAATCTAGTAGCACTAATATTTTGTCCCTCACATTCATATCTGCCTGCAACATGGTTAAAGTGCATGCTAAGGTTAAACTTGGACATAAATGACAAAAGATGAGGAGGACATGGACTAAGAGAAAAGAGAAACACGTAGAAAAAAATATAGAAAAATCGCGTCACCCGAAAATTACACAGTTCAAATCTAAGAGCACTACTTACAGGCTTACAGTTCAGAAAAAACATGACGACTCGTTAAAGTTGAATTACATTTGTATGAGTGCTGAATAATTCGTAAATAAGTAAAACAAAGAAGTCTTAGAGCCAAATCCAATTTTCAATTATAGAAATTAAAAAATTTTCAGCTGTAAAATGTTTCATAGCACCTTAACTGTTGGGATAAAGAGTCCATTATGTCCCCTCCTAATTTTTCTTCCTGCTTATAAGCAAGATGATTGAGGCATAACTCCTTGAGTAACGTTCCAATATGCTCTAACAATCATACTAAGCCAAGCCAAGCCCTCCTATCAATTCTTTAATCTCAATCAATTATCAATATGTCAACTACAATATTTTCTTTGGGAAAATTCTTGGACAGCTAGGTGCTATCCGAGGAACATTACCGTGCTGTTCTGGGAAACTGTCAGGTTGGTGGTTCTTTAGAAGACTGAAAGCTTTACTGAAGTTACTATGGATTGAAAGAAATAAAGATCCATTTGAATCGTGCAAATGACCACGAAACCAAATATCCATGCGAAGTATTCATCTAGAGTCCTTCCTCCCTCCAGACAGTGTCACAATTTAAATGAACAGGAGGGAGGGAGGGAGGGATTAGGGACACTAAAAACCAAGGGCAACACATTCGCGAAAAAGTATAATGCAAGTTGATTTAAAAGGTCTAATAATTTTGGCAAGAAGGGTAAATGATTAACAATGTAAAACTCCTAGCAAGAAGGGGAAGAAAAATACAATTGGATGCAGAATGAGACAAAAAAAAAAAAAGTTAAATGCACACGAATGAAATAAAAGATCTCAAACTTTTACCTTTTTCTTCAAAATTTTGATCATCTCTCCAAGAATATTTTTCTCAGCAATCTGGTAATGGACATAATCACCACAATTCTTCACCATTGTTTCTATAAGCTACATTTTACAAGGACACCAAAGCAATTGTTCAGATACCTTGAATCAAAAACATACTACAGGACGTACATCTGGGTGGAGGGGGAACTACTGTGTGGAGGTTAAAGTCACAAAATAAATTGTATAGTTGTATTAGGAAAAACTGAACAAATTCTAACAACTAAATCAATGGGAAATATTTGATGATCAACTGTATGCAGGAGTTTTCCTTTTTTTTTTTTCTCTTTTTTTGGTGGGTAAATATTACCGTTAGAGATAGTAGCTGAACTCTAGGACTCTTGTGTTGCAACCTTCTTTTCACAGCTTTCATGACATCTTTTGCCTGCCTGATAAACAGACCACGCACAAAGTTGGCGAAACAATTAGTTCAAAATTTCAGCCAAAGGAAGAGGAGGAAGCTAAAAACTTAGAAGTCTAATCCCATCCCACATGTTCCCAGATAATGCCTTGTACGTAATCTTCCCCATCAAACAACGAAATAATTAAAAACAAAAAACAAACACCACTTAGGAATCGAATTCATAAACTATCAGCCTAAGATTAACTAAATATCGGAACTTTTTTTGCCAAAAAATTGCTCCAAACATCAATTTCAGAAAGGGGAAAGGAAGAAATGACACCCTCTCTCTGATCTCACCCTGTCCCCTACTATAGTACCCCCAGAAAAATTAAGCAAACGCCGTTTAGATTAGAGGCATCAAAAAACAAAAAGAAAAAGGAAAACAACAAGAGAATAATCCTGATATACAATATTTACAGATAAAAGAATATTTCCAACAAACAACAACAGGAAAAAAAGTATTATATAAATATAAAAAACAAGAATATAAATTGAATTATTATCTGCCTTCACATACGGAAAACACCATAATAAGCATATATGTCCTTCGTCCGACATCGTATCGAAACAAACAATAAAAGAAATAATCAAAAGAAGTTTCAGGCATGAAAGATTATGATCGAAGCGTAAATTCAAAAAGCGAGAAAGTCAAAGCGAAGATAAAAGAGCTGGAAGACTGGTTAATTACCATTGATTAGAATTGATGGAATCGCATATGTCGATGTTCATGGTCCAATCCGGACTAATTAGAAGGTCACTCGTCGCCTTCTCCACTGCCACAATCGCTGAAGAAGAGGATAAAGACATGCTTACCTTCTGTCCTCGGTCTCTCGTCTCTCGTCTCTCGTCTCTGATGAAACAGAAACCTATACGTTTGTCCGCAGAAAAACAAAAAATTAAGATAACAACGGGAATTTTGGAGGGCTCAGAAGCATAATTTTCCAGGATAACACACCGCCATCGTCCCTACGATGAAAGAAATCGGAAAGTTCAGAATAACTTTTTAGGGATTTTCTTGTTTTCTTCTCACACCACGCAGAATCGTCAAACACTCTCTCTCTCCCTCTCCCTCTCCGCTTTCTTTTCTCCCAAAAAAATGAACAAAAACAAAAAATATTGTTTTTTAGTTTTAATTTTTATTTTCCTTTACCGCCTCTTGCTTTCCATCTTTCTTTTTCGGCATCATCAGCGGAGTCAGCCCTTTCAGTTTACAACGCCTGTCCTGGAGCTCTCATCCTGTAAGCGCTTCAACAGATTCTGATCAATGTGCGCGCCACGTGGCCCCATCATCCAGGGATCAGATTTCACTACCTAAGCATCCGACGGCGAGTATTCGAGGGAAAATACAATCGTCAAAGTGGGGAGCCATTATTTTAATATTTTTCCTACTCATTCTTGCTTTTCCTTTTTATCCAGGTTAATCGTAGCCGTCCGATCAGAATTCGACTTTATAAAATAATAATAATCCATTTACTCTGAATTGTGCACGTCATGATTAGTATTAGTAATAAAAGCAAATAATGACGTCAGAAATATAAGAATATCATAAAATGGAAAGAAATGGAGTGGGGGATAAAAGTCGTGGGAGAATTATTATGGCTTGCCATTGGGAGCGGGACCCATAATTAAGGAGACTTATTCCGCGTCTTCGGTTGATTGGCTTTTGTTTTTTCTTCAACGGAAAATATAATATATAACATAATAACATATATGCCACTTCCTTTTTCCATTATTCCTAATTAGCCCTGTAACCAAATTTATTACAATTATAAACCACTCTCGTTTTCACAATATTTTATTTTAAAATATACTTTTTTTTTACAACAAATGGGAGTGTACGTTGGAATTCGAATTCATAACCTCTTGGTTAAAGACAATGTGTCAATTATGAGATTTTACAAAATTAAACAATTAACATAACTAATTAAAATTAAATAGCTAACATGGAGTCTAAATTCATTATTTTATTTAAAAAAAACTACATGTACTAAAAATATAATAAATATACTTTTATTATAAGAAAAATTATTTCTAGCATAAGTAAAGATTGAAATTATAAAACAATTAATTAAAATTTCTAACTCTCATTAGTTGAGATAAAAGAATAAAAGTCTGCAAGATAATCACTCAAAAAATATATTGGAACCTAAAATAAGAAATGAGAATTTAATTAATGAAATTCTTTAGATAAATAGAATTGGTGGTTCCCAAATTTGAGATGAATCCACTCATTAATATATTTTAGTAAACATCGTAAAGGTAATGAAAATTTTGATTCTCGACCCAACACAAAAGTTTCACTTCAACAAAAAAAAGTTGTGTCACTTCAACAAAAAAAAGTGAAGGATTTGGACTTCTAATCTTAAAAAGATAATTAATGTCTCGACCAGTTAGATAAAATTATACGAGAAGTCAAACACACCATTTAAATAGAATATTATGATAATATACGACCTATTTTAATCGTGTTCGGTAGAATTTTGGTTTATGAGTCTTTAATTTTTATATTACATATGAACCACATTAATGGTAATTTAGTAATGAGTTTTTTTTTCTTTGAAATAGTAATTTAATAATGAATTGAAGAAATTCTAAAAGAATTAAAATAAATGAATAATGAGAAGAAGAAGGATGGAAATTAACAATAATTAAATACGTCACCGTCCAATAAAAAAGTGGGTTACGAAAGTAGAAAGCCCTTTGGTGGTGGTGGAAAGATCACAGCTTTTGATTTGGAGGTGAATCATCCACTCACTGATTTAATAAATTTAATAACAATAATACCCTTTATTGCCACAAATGTAACAAATTTATGCCTGCAGACAAAATCATCACATTTATTAAAATTCCGAGTGAAAGATTGAAGAGCCATCTTTTTTATTTTTTATTTTTATTTTTTTACAATAACATGGGTGGTAGTTCGAATTTAAAATGTGGGTGTGATAGTTCGAACTTACAACGTTTTGATCAAAAATAATATTTTAATCAATTGAACTATATTAAGATTACGACCATGTTTTAACTTATATCCATTAAATTAGGTTCGAATTAAGTCATTGCTACCGGTTAAATTTTCATATATAAATAGAATATATTAATAAATATTTGTGTTTTTTTAAACAATAAATATTTGGGTTCATGTTTTGTTTAGTTGTGCAATGTATAGGCCAGGTAGGTTGGATAGACCATTATTTTAATTTCTTAAATTCATAGATTACTAGACCATATTAAAAGGTATTTGTCCCTTTGTTTTAGTTTAATCGTGCCGCGTAGTATTATTAATTAATATCTTTAAAATGAATTAACTTGGATTCTTGGGCTGAATAGTTGTTTTATCGAGACAGTATTGTTTTTTACTTACTTTTTTAAAACTTATATTTTTTTAATCTATCATCTTTGATACCAAATTATTCCTCTTTTTACAGATTTTTTTTCTCTTTTATTTCCCATTAACCCATTCTTTATTTTCCTTGTTTTCTTCTCTTTTTTTTTTCTCTTTTCTGCAACGTATGAATATTTTTCTTTCATTCTTCTATTTTGTTTTAAATTTCTCCCTTCCTCTTTTCTTTTTTTTACTACTAGAAATTAATAGAAGAGAGGAGAGGGGAAGAAGGAAGAAAGGAAGAGGAAGAGGAGAGAGAGCAAGAGGAGGGAGGAGAGAGAACGAGAGCGAGTAAGAGTAAAAATTAAAAATCTATAAACATAGATTTGGTAAAAAACAAACTACTTTGTAAAAGGGCTATTCAGCCCAATTTCCCAATTAACTTCAAATACATGACTGTATTATGGATACGGGCTTAAAAGAAATTGAATCACTTTAAAATGTCTAAAAAATCAAGTGTGGTAGCTAATTCGTGAATTCAAACATTTGATTTTTATAGGTAAACTAATCAAACAGTAGAGATTCACGTGAAAACAAATAGGTCAAGCTAACACTTAATTTGAACGTCTGAGTATTTACCATCTTTTGGCATATTCTACTCATGGAGGATAATGATACCCTCGTACTTCTAAGTATCACCATAATTTTATGATATTAGAAGCTATTGGCACAATTCTCATAACTTTGATTTTGGTTTCACCCAAAAAATCTCGTACCAATAGAGATAAATTGTTTTCATCTAGATACTATGGATCACCGACCTCTTCCCTAACCAAACTTTGTTTGCATATCTTAGTTGAAACCCTAACACTTACTTGCATCAACTCAATTATCTCTGGCTCAATTAACCACAACGATAAAAATAGCATTACAATTACTTAATATTGTTGATGTAACTTTATAATTATTTGAATATAAAACTTTTACAAATAAAAGAAAAATGTAAAGTAAAATAAAGTAACACCATGTATACTATGACCAGAATTGGAGATACCCCTCCTAGTTCAAGTATCGAGATGCACGTAGTCAGAGATTTTCCATTTGAGATGAATCCTGCAACGTCTATTATAGTAGTAGATGGTCGTTGACACTAATGTAAGCTACACGACTTTGATTCAAGGTTTAAGAAAAAAGTAACAACATTATTATATCGATGGAGTGCAACCAAATCAACCCCTACACATCTCAAGACAAGATCCTAAACATATATAAAATTCGTAGAAACAGCACAACAACATTTAAATTACATATTAAAAGAAAAGAAAAGAAAAGTCCAAATCTAAGCGTAGGTAAATTAGGTGATTCATTAGATTACACGTGGGAGAGAGAGATGGGTTGTGGTTGTAATTTTAATCGTTGCCGCTTCTGTCCTCGTTGATCTCATACAGAATGACCACCAGCGCCACTATGAAGCCGTAGTCCACGTTCGGATACACCGTCACTCCGAACGTGTCTTTGTCAAACACGATGCTCTGCAAATTATGCTGCTTATGCATCTGCCAAGCACCACCGCGTACGAAATTTCAGTTAATTATATATATATTTCAATTTCTCAAATTAATTAAATTCATTCATTCAATTTCTCCTGACCTGAGCGATTATGGTGGAGCCGTCCCCAAGGTAAATCGTGCACGATCTCTCCATCCAGCTTCCTTTTATCTTAAAATCGCAGCTGCTTTCCGACGCGTCGTTTCTCGCTAACACGACATCCAGTTGAGTTCTCAGCTGGATTACCGACGACTTCTTCACCGTGAACAGTAGATCCTTCGAATCTGAGCTCTCTCCTCTGTACGCATACCATTTTCTATGCGCCGAAAGCAGCTGCAGGTGCAACCAACAAAACTAATTTTTCTATATAAATAATTAATTTACTAATTTTCGTTGCCCAGCAGGCTAGATCTAAAGGACAAATTTTAAAATTAAAATTAAATAAAAAGGACCTTTTGGTGGAAGGAGATGACGGGATTCCCGGCGGCGTCAAGAAGGAGGCGGCGATCGTGAAGGCTGAAGACGGAACCTTTGATCTTGAACATGAGGGTGCCGTTGACGTCAGTGACGGCGAACCCGCCTTCGGCCAGGGTCATCAGCTTCTTGGTGATTCTCAGATCCACGGGGTACGGCGCGCAGTACTGGGGGCTTATCACGGCCACCGGAGTCGTCAGCGGCGGATAAGCTGTCGCCGCCGGCAGCGGGATCGTCGACGGATTCGCCATACGGATTACGGAATTAGAACAGAAAATTCAAGGAACTGATGATATCTGTGGGATCTGTCCCTCGGTTGTATCGAATGCGCGTTGGATGTTATTGCCGGAGGCTATGGGTTAATGCCTATGGTGTATATTTATAGGAAAATATTGGGCTACTCACTAACAATCAATCTTATTTTCGCCGTTATTTAATGTTTGATAATTATGGAAGAAAATATCTTTTTGTAAATAATATGTTCACACATGGGAATGTTCCTCCAAACAATAAACCTTTGAGTCAAGCTAGGTGACCTACGAGATAAAAGGTGAGCATTGGAATTTCGGAGAATGGATACGGTATATTTAGAAGGGATTCGAACATACCTCGATAAAGGATTATCAATTCTTTTCTATAGATGAATAAATGTGAATCAATTAATTAGGAAGGTTGAGATTCTCTCCGCAGCATATCTCGATGGCCAGACATGTGACGATAGTTAACCACACTTAATCAAATGTATCTCGAGACTGACATGATTCATCCTTCACAGCCTGACATTATCAAGTCTGTCTAACTTACTCAACTGCACAATACGTGATTGTCTATTATTTTACCCTCGTAACATAATAAGTTGTCAAACTTTCGATACTAGAGATAAAAGTCGATCCCACCAGTAAGGAGCCTAGTATTTTCCATATATAAATAATAAAATTCGTAGCACTCTTATTTTATTTTAAAAATTAAACAGACTTATATTTGTGGATCTTGTGGATGTAGATGTGTCCCCCTTACATAGTATCAAGTATCAAGAGCGTATTGGGTATTATAGTAAGGATTATGGACTAATGTCTGATGTTTATTTATAGGAAAATACTTATATTACTTACCAATGAAGATTATTAAATGTTTACCGATTAATAGAAAGGTAATGGAGACTTTCTTTTAAAAAATATTAAATTGTCAAATTTTCGATATTGAAGAGCAGAAGGGGTAATACTTTTTATATATAAATAATAAATCTAACACCATTATTTTATTATTTTACTTTCGCCAAGACTAAGTCAAATATGTACTAATTATCTTATCCAGATATTTTGTACAGCTCCGAAGGGCCATAGCTTTATCTAACCGATAACTCCAAATAATAATAATAGTAACTACGAGAAATTCGGCCCAGCCGCGTGTAATTATTTTCAATTTGTTGGGGCAATGGTCCGTTTAATTACCAACTAATTTCAAATGAATTCAGTGAAATCCCTAACTGAGATAATAAATTTGCATAATTTCATACCGTTTAAGGTAAATTACTTATCTAATATTGTTACATTTTAATTTAATTATCTATTACAAAATTAAGATTAAAAGTCTAATCCAGTAAACTTATTAATTTCTGCCCCTTTCCCACGGATGTTGAAACAAGTAAATTCCAATAAATTTTTTTAGTAAATCAGGTAAAGGTTAGGATATTGAGATACTCATAAATTAATTAAATTTAGCCAATCAATCAGCTTAAGCTTTTGAGTTAAGTGGTGGTTTATTCATCCTTAAGATGATATCAGAGTGGGAGGTCCGAACTTCTGTATTGTTGTTTCTTCTCCGTTTGAGCGTAAATAAATTCAAATTTATACTTATTGGAGTCAGCTTCCACCCCAATAAAACTTCATTTTAATTTTTTTTAGTACAACATGTTGGAAAGGGGATTTGAACTCACAACCTCTTGATTAGAAGTATATATCAATTACTGCTAAATTATACTTCGCTTGGACTAAACTCCATTTTATTGGTAGATCATACCTACCCAATATGGATAGTTTTAAAAGACAGAAGACAAATTTTTAAATATGTGTGCATATCACATGTCATGGACACAATTTGTACCTGGCTTTATATTTATCCTAAAAGTTATGGAAAAAAAAAAGACAATAGAATAATGATAAAGCACCGCGTGCTATTTATTCCCTCGTTCCGTTCTTCCGCCGCGAGATTCCGTAACACGGCGGCGAAGCAAGCTGGGCGGCCAAATGTGGACCCACCACGTTTGTTTCTTTTTAATTAGACTATCATTAAAAAATAGTGCCACAGTGGCTAGGAGGAATTATCCTCCACAAACCTTAAACCAAATAATAAAATGAACACAGTAGGTGGCTGAAGTTTGAAGACCCCTTTTATTAGTTATTAGTTTGTAGAGGATAATTTCTCGTGTAGCCACAGCGGAAATTAGAAATGATAATAGAATAAGTGGTTTTGAAAAAAAAGATTTACATATAATTGATTTTCTAAAATCACTATTCAAATGATACATTAAAAATCAATTTTTTAATTTGTCAGACACAATCAATAAAAATAGAAATGATTTTGACAATGATAAAAGTGATTTTGGCCTCCCAAACACGACCTAAGATTAGTCCTTAGAAAAAAAATGAGAGAATAAGATTGAATGTATGGATATTGTTTATATAACAACTTGCATGGGGGCAATGTGCATGCCTCAAGTTGGGGGCCAGAACCAATTAAAAATACTATTTCATAAATTTCAATTTTTATATATACATTTTAAGGATAATGTTTGGTGTGAAGAACTACTGGATCATTGAGTCTATAAACTTGTAGAAACAAAAACTTACAAGAATACTAATCAAGAAATAAAAAAGAAGAAGAGAGTATTATAATTATTTTATTTAAAAAATAAAAATTTTGAGGTAGCACTAAACCCGTTTATTCAACGAAATCTATTTTTCAAAAAGCTCATATATATTTTTTTAAGGTTAAAATACATATTTGGTCCTTGAACTTTGAAGGAAGTAACGATTTAGTCCATGTAGTTACAATTTAGTTCCTACCCTTAAAATTTATGTTAGATTTAACGGTTTTGTGATGTGGCAAATCCACATGCACGAATAAAATGGCCAACTATGCAAGTCGGTTTGATATTGGGTTGGTTCAGACTTAAACCTGCCTAGGATTAAAGAAAAATAATAATTGAAAAAATTACCTCCCCATCTTGACTATCTCAAGTCTCCCACCACCAAAGTTGTCGTCTGAGTCGTCCAAGCTCAATACACCGTCGATGCCATTGTTCCCTGCACCACCTCCATCTCCGACAGCGCCACACCATGCACCAACGACTACTGCAACTCTGGTTTTCCTGCCACCGCCGAAGAGCCGCTTCTTCGTCGGTCAATATTATTAAAAAAAATGGATATCAAGACCAAAAGAAACCCCTCCCAGTATCTAATCTAATGTCACGCCAAATAGAAAAAGAGGAGAAATAAGAAATTAAAGAAAAAGAAATCCTACCGAATTGGCTATTAGAAACGAAAGAAGAAGAAGCAAGCTAGTGAGGGAAGAAGAAGAATGATCCAACTTCCATTTTAGAAAATCTCGAATTAGTCTATAAAAAAAAGGAAAAAACCAGATGAGTGCGTGGTGTTGAATTAATATAATAGATCAGCGGAAGAAAACTGAAATTGAGATTGATTGAGAGAACAAATTATTAGGGAATGAGTTGTTTTGGAAGAAATTATAATATTGGGATGGAAATTGGGCAATCCTTGATGAACTGGATTTTGATTGGAATTTCGGAAGAGGGGTACCTCACGCCACGTATAAGAAATTACATCATCCGACGGCGGCGGAGAAACTAGAGCTATAGTTGTCGTTACGTTGGTGCATGGTGTGCTGGAGATGGAGGTGGTGCCGGACACGACGATGTCGGCGGTGGGTGGGCTTGGAAGACTCAGACAGAAAGCTTCGGTGGGAGCCGGAGGCAAGATGGAGGAGATAATTTTTTTAATTATCTTTTTTCTTTAATCCTAGGTCGGCTTAAGTTTGAACTAGATATTGAACCAACTCGCACGGCTGGCAATTTTATTTGTACACGTGGATTTGCTACATCACAAGACCGTTAAATCTAACCTAAGTTTTAATGGTAGGAACTAAATCGTAACTAATTTAAAAGTATATGGACTAAATCGTTACTTTGTTCAAAGTTCAAAAACCAAAGGTGTATTTTAACATTTTTTTAATACAACAAATATGATGGATGAGAATTTACCCATAATTTTAATAAAAGAAATAGATACTTTTACCATTAATTATACACTTAATTTAACCTTTTTTACAACAATTGAGAATATAAGGGATCGAACCTCAAATTTTGAAGAAAATAGTACGTACCAATTATCACTGAGTTATACTTATGTTAGCCATTTAATTTGAATTTAAATGATAAGAAATGTGAAATACTTCATCCTACATTTAAGATAAAGCAGATTTATTAATTCTAAATTAGATGAAAGACAAATACTAAATTAGATGAATGACTGCTTTGAATTATTATCTGCAAATAAAGCAGACATATACATATTATATTATGAAGTCAACGAGGACTTGGTATTTAAGGCAGTCAATGAGTACTCTTGGAGAAGCAACTTGGTCACTTCGCCCATTACTCATGAGGTTGGTGAAGGGTTGACTTCTGGATCGTCCATCTTTCTCTGTCCTATATATTTTCCACGACCGTGTAATAAAGCTTACAAATTGGAGATGATCTGGAATTTAAAAACGAAGAATATATATTCATTGTTTTGATTTAAATATTATTTTTATCTTCAACTTTTAGTTTTTAAAATATTTATTTTGGTGCATCTATTTTAAGTTACCTCTATTTTAATCCATTTATTTTCTAGATGTTTATTTTAATTATTGTCCTCGTTTTTTCCTCTTATTTTCTTTTTAATCTCATTTGTTGAATCAATGAAATATATATGGTAATTAACGTTCAGTTATATTAATTTTTATATATATATTTTTAAACAGAAAGGCCATTCATAAATCTTTGAACGCATCATGATTATTTATATCCGTTGGCTTCGCTGGCATTGATAAAATTATCGTATGGATGTACTAAAAAAATAAAAAACGTCGGGATGTTCTCGTTCAGGCCTAATTTTGGGCTTTTGGCTGGACCTTTCTGTAGGCCCATTAACACAACCCAATATTAATATATTATCCACTTTTTTCCTAATCAAGTTACACCGTAGCTGCTCAATGTTTTGTTCATCCATTTGAGATACAAATTGTATGCAGCATATTATGTCAAAAACATAGTGACCTAGCTGCCGCCAGCTAGGTTTGTTTTTTTTTTCTTTTTAATTCTTATTTTAACAATGGTTAGTAACTTAGAACCTAGTTATAAGTAGAATGTTTTGGATTTTATTTTGAAATATTAGATGGTGTTGGATTTGTAACGTGATTGCAAATAAAGTCCCATATTGACTAGGGATGAGAATGATCATGACGAAGAGAGACAATTATCTTAATTGCTATGAGACATTTTGGATGAAACTAAAAGCAAAACGGACAATTGTGGAGATACTCGAATACTTGGATACCCAATCTTCCGTTTCTAAATCCAATATCCATGATGATTCAAAGGAAAATCAAATTTGTTTCGTTTTAAATTTGTAATTCGTGTCTTCTGAATGGAACTTCAAATCTTTTGGTAGTACTACAGTATTCGGGCTCGCAATAAGCAAAATTGATTTATCAAAACCATGGACCGCTATTGATAATTCGTGTCTTCTGAATGTTGCTCATGAATTGGATCATGAACATATTTTCCCTAATGCAATCTATAATGGTGTTCTTGTGAACTTTCCAGATACTTTTCATTACCCACGACACAAAGAGTAAGTGTTTCTTTACCTTTCACTGCTTCCATTTGACTGAAATCAGCCACACAAGACGACTACGCTCAGACACGAGAGAAAACTAAATATTTGTGATTTGAAGCAATAAAATCGTAGGCAGAATTATAGTTGTGGTCTACACTTCCAAAATGGCGAGCTTCAGCGTTGTAAAGAGGAGCAACAACTTCCTCAGAAAGCACAGGAAGTGGCCATTTTCACCTTACAAAACCAAATGGCATCAAACTTTCGATCAGGACGAAGCTTTGCGAATCCTAAAGCAAGCTGCAAATTCGCCGGAACAATCGAATTCCGACCAACCTTACCTTCTTTCCGCTCTCGTAAGCTCCTTCAAAGCCTACTGCTGCCACCCGACCCCCAATGCTTACCACTTCGTCCTCAAAACCCTAGCTCGAACATCCCAATTCCACCACATTCCCCTTGTTCTTGATCGTCTTGAACGTGTCGAGAAATTTGAAACCCCAGAGTACATATTTGCCGACCTCATCAAATTTTACGGACGAATGAACAGAATTCAAGATGCCATCACTATTTTTCGTAGGATTCCCATGTTCAGGTGCGTTCCCTCTACGTTGTCGCTCAACCCTTTACTTTTCTTGCTCTGTAAAAACGGTGAAGGTATCCGAATGGTTCCCGAGATCATATTGAATAGCCAGGCTATGGGTATTAGGCTCGAAGAGTCGACATTCCGGATTCTAATTACTGCCTTATGTAAAATTAATAGAGTCGGGCATGCCATGGAGATTTTCAACAATATGATAACGGAAGGGTATGGTCTTAATCCCGGAATCTGCTCTTTTATCTTATCATCGCTCTGCGAACAAAAGAGATCCTCTAGCAGTGAGGTTCTTAGTTTTCTGGAGCAAATGAGGCAAAAAGGATTCTGTCCCTGTGTTGTGGATTATTCTAATATAATTAAGTTTTTCGTTAGGAGAGGGATGAGTTCTGATGCTCTCGATCTATTGAATAAAATGAAGGCCGATGGTTTCAAGCCTGACATTGTTTCTTATACTATGGTCTTGAATGGGGTGATTGGGGATGGGGACTATAAGATGGCAGATGAGCTGTTTGATGAATTGCTTCTATTTGGTTTAATTCCTGATATTTATACATATAACGTGTACATACATGGATTATGCAAACAAGGTGATCCGGGAGCAGGAATTCAAATGATTTCGCGTATGGAGGAATTGGGATGCAAGCCTAATGTGATTACTTACAATATTCTCTTGGAAACTTTCTGTAAAACCAGGAAGCTCGACGAGGCTAGGAAGCTTAGAAGTGAGATGCAACTAAAGGGTCTGGCAGAAAACTTGCTGACTTTTAGGATTATGATCAATGGTTTATTTAATAATGGTGAAGTAATTGAAGCTTGTATCATACTGGAGGAAATGCTAGGAGGTTGTTTCCCTCCTCAGATTTCAACTTTTGGAGAGATTCTTTCTTGGTTGTGCAAAAGAGGCATGGTCGGCAAAGCACTTGAGTTGCTCACGTTAATGGTTGGCAAGAACTTTTCCCCAGGTGCTAAGGCTTGGGAAATACTGCTCCTGAGCTCTGGAAATGAACTAACTTCTGTTAAGAGCCTGGAAACTACATTAGGAGATCTAGTAGGCGTATAAAGAAAACCAACCCTGCAGATTTCAGAGCACTTGAACTGTAGAAGTCATCACGGCTATGCTTGAACAGTTCACTTATTCATTCTGTAATGGACCAACCTTTTTTGTTTAACCCTACACTCAATAGGGTGAGGAACAAAGGTACGGGTTGTTGCTTCATGCTTTGCTTCAAATGTTGTTATTCCCCTGCATATCTTACAAGAAGGATAATACTGTTGTGGTCTCTTGGAATCAAAACAATCAAGCTTGTAATTTATTTAGATTTATTAGAGAATGAAAAGGCTTCTCTATGTTGGGCAGGTATTGCAATGACGACTTTGTTTGAGCTATCTGCTGATGTTGTGGTAGTCGGGAATCAATATTTCACGTAATCTTCTACCTGAAGAAGGTGAGGATACACCCTTCAACCTCCAGGGGTGGGCGAGGTTTACTGCCAATCCAACATCTGATAATGTAAATGTAAGCGAAAACTTAAAGCTGTGCTTGCTTTTTATTGAGCCATATTAAAAATTTTCATTTGCATAGACCATAATCCACTTCCTTTTATTTCCCCCAAAATTTTTATCAAAGGTGATTCACTGAAGCATTTATTACTTTTTCACAATACCTTGCTCTGTTTCAAGGATAACTTATTAAATCCTAAGCTGTGCATATAGTGGAAACTTTTGTTAGTTAGTTGTGAAAATGAGCATGTTAATCGATCCTAGTTTATTAGTCTGCTTTAAAGATAAGTGACGAGGATCTATGGAGCCAATCTAATTTAGACATGCTGTTATGTCATAGTCTGACTGGTACAGATGCGATGTATGTCATTTTGGCATCTTCTCATTAGTGCTTGTTTGCAATTAGATATATCATATATTTAGTATGGGAGAGCAGTGGTGGATGATGAGGATATGTTCTACCATTTTAAATCCTCCGATCCCACACGCTCAGAAGGTTAACCTTGAGTTTTCATGTTTGATATGGCCACTTGACTTTGTTTTCCTTGTATTTTGCTATATGAAAGCATCGATTGTTCTTGAACATGTGGCCTATTGCTTTTGAATTGAAACCCTTGAAAGTGCCTAGATGTTAGATCAGAACCATAAAACTTCCTTGAGGCTACACGCGTGCAAGGAAGTTGTACTCAGAACCTTATAGCCGGAGTTGAGTAAATTGGATCTCCTACCTCATCAGACAGTCTCTGTCAATGGAATTTTCTCCCTTTCCTTTTTCTAAAATTTGAAGAGTAGTCAGCTTTTAGTTTTGGGCTGAAAAAGGGATGATAATGGTTAGAGACCCATGTAGAATTGGGTAATTTTGTTTGTATAAACAGATGGTACCTTTTGGGAATAGTGTTAAAAAATTGATCCCTACTTTATGAAATAATTATTTTTTAGAACCATGAAAATGTGTCTGAAAAGTAAATTTTTTAGATAATATTTTTGTGTAGAGTTGTTTTCACTTTTTGAATAGCTCTTAATTTGGGGAAAACTTTACTGTTACCAAAAATATCAGATGACATATAAAACATTAGTAGGAATACGTGCACAGTAACTTTTGAACAATGTAGAATCCATTTTTTTAAACCTCACTTTGTAAAAGATTTCTGAAAAATTGTTCCACAAAGAAAACACTCAAACCGTATATTAAGTTAGCTGATTGAACGCTAAAACGAGCATAGCTCAGCGGTAATTGGCATAATCTCCAACCAAAAGGTTGTGAGTTTGATTCCCTACCCCTACACGTTGTACTTGAAAAAAAAAAGTTAGCTGATTGAACATAGCTTTTAGTTGTTTGGTGGAGAAAGGAAAAAGAAACCAAAAAGCTTTTAGATATGATGAGAGGAAGCCTTCCATTTTTTCCTCAAAGGCAACTCCGTCCGATTCCTTTGTTGACACTCTCCATCTACTTTTCAAGATCTTCCGAGCCCACTAAAGGAAGTTGGAAGCTGTTGTGAGATCCAAAAAGAAAAAAAAAATTATAAATGAACGAATCTCACATAAACCTAACATATTGGTAGCTAGAAAAAAAATCTAGGATTTCTCTATTTAATATTCCAGGTCCTTTCGCACTTGGATAGACAAGGAGGGTGGGATGTCTTTCAAGTGGTGAATACAAGTCGTAGCATGAAAAAATGTCAGCCAAAGAGAAAAAGAAAACTTTCAAACTACATTATCTTTGAAGAGAGAGAAAGATCTCCGCAAGGATTTGATAATGATAATACTCATTCATTTGCCAACTTCACAATTTTGAATTTGCTTAAAATCCATTTGACTTTGAGTGCTCGAAACTTTCGTCGAGCTAGAATCGCCAAGCATATGATGTTGATACAACTTAATGTTAATATCTGGCTCCTAATTAATCGCAAACAAGGGTTACCCTTTATTTATATTTCTTATGCTTGCTTTGCTCCTTTAAGCTTTGATATAGATAGTTTTTGTATTACGTTTGGTTAATTGGTTTACTTTTTCTTTTCTATTTGGGTTTGTTGTTGGGACAACTGTTTAAGAGTGTGTCCTTACTGTGGATATTAAGTGGATTAATTCCACATTTATGATTGATTGTTTGAAGATTTGATTAGACTTAAAGTGGATTGATTTCAATTATTGCGATTGATTCATATCAAAAACTTATTATGATTGATTGTTTGAAGATTTGGTTATAATTAAGCTTAATCTTGCTGCTAAGAAAAGGTTCTGGAATAATCTTCATCTGTTTCAACGTGTGGTACTAACTGCTATTTTCTCTTCGTTTATCCTTTCATTGTGCTTGACTCGTATAATGCTCAAAGATGGTTTCCATTGTATTGATTTTAAAAAGTTTCTTTTTATATCTTTCTTTAGTTTCTTCATGGGAGAAGGACGAGGCAGCAGTTAAAAAGAGGATAAAGACATCTATTATCATCTTTAAAGATTAATGGCTCGACCATTCACCTCGCAATTGTTGAACTCAAACGAGAAGCAGAAAAAGAAAAGGTAGAAAACCTTCCTAGGTTTGGAAAGCAAACCATGTTTTTTTTCAAGATTTGCATCAAATCCAACTTTTCCTGCTATTACCATTTGTATAAATCTGTTTTATTGAATGAAAGTGATGGAATTTAATTCGAACTTGAATCACAAAAGTAGATGTTTCAAAAAAGAACAGAATTCCTCCTGAATGAATCAAAGTTTGTCGTGGGGCGAATGTGATAAGCAATCGTGGCAAATCAGTAAGGACTAAGGAAGGCAAAAACTTAATATCCAAATTATGTACAGCCTCTGTGTCTCCCTTCATTGGGAAATGAGAATAAATTGGAAAATCGTTTCTTTATCCACCCGGTCCCATCTCTATCTTTGGTTGTCACTTTTGCATATATAAACCAACTCTAAATTTTCTTTCCTTATTTCCTTTATCTACTTTTATTCCAAAAGTTTCACTAAAATTTCTAAGAGTTTTAGCTTTATTATTATTGAATATGAATGATTTTTGTACATCAGCATTCAATTCAACTATAACTACATGCATTTGCCTTTCTTTTCGCCTCTATCAACTTCATCTTCAAGCATTTTTGCTCGATTTTATATGGATAAAATATCTATTACCATCTTAACGATAGATGGTTCGATTTCTACAACTCAATAGATAAATAAACAAATAAGCCATCTTATACCAAGGAAAAAGCATCTGCTACAAGAATGAATAATTGCTCTTATCTGGTAACTCTTCTATTGTTTCTGAAAGTTATATATAAACAAACAGATATTAAATACAGAGAGAAAAGAAGGGAAAAAGAATGATTTTGGTGGTATAAACACAAGCATAATCCGGTTTGAGTCTTGATTGCGACAAGACGTGGAAAAATTGAAGATTTAGTCAACAAATTGGACTCGTCACTTTGACTCTGAATCTAGTTGAATCTCAATACAAATCCAAGAATTTAAACTTTATCTCCTTCTCAATTTCTTGAAATTAACTGATATTTATCCTTTACCCACAGATATACATTTGACATTTCCCACGGTCCGATCCTTGAAATTAACTCTAATCATGAACCAAAAACTTCAATATAATTAATATATTCTTATTTCTAACCTTGGATTTGAACTGTATTATATTCGATATGTTA